TGCTGGTTCTCAGCCACTTCTCTTTAACACAGTGTTTATCTGCTGAGTGGCTGTGAACAGAGAGGGAAACGAGCGCTCTCTGCCATAAACACACACACACACACACACACACACACACACAGGTGCAGCGGTCGATTAATAATAATATGTTCTAAAGTTTCTCAGACTTCACGGTTCTGTGTGAAAGGAAAAGACTAATCCTTAGAAATATGTGGGGTGAGAGGGGTGGGTGGAGGGGAGTCAGCGGCGGAGACGTTGTGGTCGAGGTGGAAAAACCAAAATGATTTTCTTTTCCTCCTCCAGACATCTCTGTTTCGGACGACTCAGCTGTTCTAAGTATCTGTTAGGAACCACGTCGGAGAACCTGCTGTGCTGCTGGAACCTCCTGACCTGCACCTGTGAGCCCCCCCCCTCACACACACACACACACACACTCATACACACACACACAGGTGTGTTTCCTCGTGACCTCTGACCTGTGTCTCTCCTGTCTCAGTGGAGTGGAGCACGGCCGTGGAGACCACCCTGCTGCTGGACGACCCCCGCTCTGAGAACGTGGCGGCCTTCAGCTTCCAGGAGGGAAACACCGACTGTGAGTTGACTTCCTGTCCACCGCTGCTGTGGGCGGAGCCTAACCTCAGGAAAGGTTCTGCTCCTCCAGTCGTCTGGGCCACATCTGCCGTCAATCATACCCGACCTAACGGGTTCTGATGTTCTAGTCCAGCTGTGGGCAACGATGGGGCCTAAAAACTGAGCCTTCGTGTGGAGATAAATGACATGTAAAAGCCATAAAGGCTCAAATGCTTTTAGCCATTTCTGCGCCATCTACTGGGGAGATGCAGGCATTGCAAGTATAATGCAAATATAAAATTATTAACATCATTTGTTCTGGGAGGTTCTCCTGACTCCAACTCAGTGAACCCTCAGAGACAGGCGTCTGAAAGAGAGTAAATATACGAGAGGGGGAAACAAATCAGGCTGCTACAGCAACACTGAGGGGGCGCTGCAGGAACGTTAGACCAGTACTGTGGTGTGTAGTTCTAGTAGTAGTACTTGGTACAACTGCTGTGTCAGGACTCTGACGGCGGAGACGAAGACAAAGGTCTTTTCTCCCAGAGAGAGAGAGAAATGCCAAAAATCATACTCCCAAGTTTCCAGAGGAAAATGTGGTGGTTCAGCTGTGGACCCCGCCCCGCGCTTTACTTCAGGATAGGGAGGAAAGAGTAGAGTAATTGATTCAAAATGACAAACGTTAACAAATATTTCTTTCTTTTTTTTTTTTTTTTAGAAAAACATTCACATCCAACATCAAGAAACCGAACTGTGAATAATTACTGCGTTTTACTGCAGTACGAGTCGTATCTCATTACTCAGTTTGCCTGGAACTCCTCCATCCATTCATTCTTTTCTAGGTTGAACAGGTCACATGGTCTCTCTCCCCTCTCTCTCTCTCTCTGTGTTGTAATAATACATTTTTCGTACTTTAACGAGGTACTTTTTTCCGTTCTTCCCTCCTTTAGTGTTTGTCTTTAAACCCAATGAGCCCCGGCCGCTGTTTTCCCATAAGGCTGTGTGTTCAGGGAGGGTGGCTCGAGCCGTCTTCGCCCCGAGGGAGGAGCTGCTGGAGGCCTGTGAGGAGAGCAGCCAGTGGCTGAACCTCTCCCAGCTCTACTTCCTCACCCCCCACATGGTAACTGGTCCCACTGACAAACACATTTTATGGTCCGGTCGTTGACCCAGATTGTTTCTAGCCTCGCAACCTACAAACCGGGTTTACAGCTGGTTCCGTTGTGGGCTGCATGTCCTACATGGTGTGGACACGTGCTCAAAGTTCATGTGTTATCGTCATGCTAGCCTCTAGCTTTCTACCAGCAGATTAGCAGAATGCTAGCTGCACATTAGCAGTTCATTTGTGTCACAGTCGATCAGTCGTCACCCAGGCTAGGCTAAGCTAACTCTGCTAACACATGGTCATGGTCTAGTGTTGTTACTGCCACCTAGTGGGTGTACTTTGTCCTGGGGTAAGGCGTCATCTGGTCTGCTCTCCTCTACAGGACCTCATGACGTTCACCACCAAGGTGGAGGAGGAAAGGCTGATGGCCTCCAGCAAACCGGTCAGTACTTCAACCCACCGACAGTCGGATTAATTGCCTCGTCCACATTTCTTTCCGGCTCCTGACATTTTTTTTTCTCTCTCTGTCTTCTAGCTCGTGATCAACGACAGCGTGGCTGAAACACCGTTCAGTCTGTTGCTGGGGAAACACCGACGGCAGCATGAGAATGAAGAGAGAGTTCTGAGTGGGTCTGTAGAAGCATCTGCCCCGCCACAGGGCAGTAGTGCCGTCAGAGAGGTCAGTGACTCGGTGGTGTGAAGATGAAGATGAACGTCTTTTCACTTCAGTCTCCTAAACCCTTCTCCTCCTCTTCCTCCTCAGCTCCTACAGACCCCAGCTCACGTGCTCCCCTCCACCTCCTTCCTCTGCTCCATGTTCGTGCAGTCTCTGCTCGTCTCCGTCACAGACTCCAGGTCAGTTCTGAGATGGAACTTCTGTCCTTCATCTCCTTCATCCGTAGCTGTGGCTCGATTTATCGCGATTTGATTTGTTGAGATACAGAAGAAGTTAATCGTGATGGAATATTTGGACATATGTTTTCATGAGAGTTAAAGATTTTAATTGGATTAATTTCATATATTAACTATAGCGAATCACTGCCCTAATATATAAATATATATATATTATGTGTGTGTATATGTGTATGCGTAGGTGCATTTATATATTAACACTTCTCTGTATATATGTGTTTGGTGATATGTACGTGTTTGGGTATATATGTGTATATACATATATTTTATGTACTTATATGTGTACATACATACATACACACAAACGTGTGTATGTATAAAAATATATGTATATGATCATGTATAAACATGTATATGTACGTATGTATATGTACATATATGTACATGTGTACATATATGTATATAACATATATATGTATATGTACGTATATGTACATATATGTATATGTACATGTGTACATATATGTATATCTTTATATACATATATGTACATATATGTATGTACATGTGTACATATATGTACATATGTGTGTATAACACATGTAGAAAAACTTTCTCGTTGACCTGGGGTGAAACATGACTCCACACAAATACTGCAGTACTTGATTCCTCATCTCAGCAGCTCCTGTTGTCATGTGATGTGGGTCATGTGGACGCTCTGTGTTCTGTTGTGGTTCCCATGAGTTTTGAAAATACTTTTTGTTCCTTGTATTCCCTCCAGTGAGAAAAACAAACCTGTGGAGGAGGAAATGGCAAGTGACAATGAGGAAGAGGATTCAGAGGAGGAAATGGAGCCTAGCAGCAGGTCAGAGAGGGCGCCCCCCCCCACAGACTCCACCGCCGCCGCCACCGCTGTAGCTGCTCCGGCTCTGACCAAGGCTGAGCTGAGAGAACTGAAGAGAGTGAGGAGACTGGACCTCAGCTGGCTGTCAGGCGTGTGCTCGTGAAGCTGACGTTCCGGAATGTTCTGCACAGGGAGTTAGAATGTTCTGGTTCTGGACGTTTGTTAAATCTGAGTGCAGCAGAAGTCGGTGGGGGAAAAAAAACCCCAACCCAACCCCACCCCAAAAAAACTGCTCAGTCACTACTCAGAGTGTGTATGTGTGTGTGTGTCTGTTCAGCAGTTTGTCTTGTGTACACACGTGAACGTGAACATGTGTCATGCTGTGCAGAAGTCTTTTTTTTTTTTTGCGTAATACTTTTCAAGTATTTGGACAAAATGAGGGAAAAAAAACAGAAAATCAAAATCAAAACATGTTTTTCTTTCACATCATGGTTTCAAACAAAAATAAATGAATTAGCAGCAGAGACACTGACTCTGCAGGACAGGCCGGGCGGTTGGACCGGGTCAAGACCAGATATGAGTGTTCTGATATACTCTACACACACACACACACATATATATGTATGTATGTGTATGTATGTATATATGTACATATGTATGTATATGTACGTATATATGTGCATGTGCATATATATATATGTATATGTGTATGCGCATATATATGTATACGCATATATATGTATATGTATGTGCATATATATGTGTTCAGCCCAGGTTGACATTGATCTTCATGCAGGATCGTGGATGTACCGTAAACGTTTACTTGTCGTGAATCTGTTAGTTTTTTTTTGTTTGTATCTATTTTTGATATAGAGACGGAGTAAACGCAGCCTCAGTATTTTGAATAAATCACTCTTTAAATATTTGGTGTCAATCCTACGTCACTGAAGACAGTTGTAATGTGTTCAGTCAGACTGAAGAGGGCGCTCAGGAGGTCGTGGAGGTTTAAGGACAGTATTTAAGGGCAAAGTATTTGATAGTTTCTTTTTCTTAAACATTAGAATTTAGTCTGAATGAAACCAAAGCCTGTGGTTGGTCTTTGTACCATAAAGTGCAGAGGATTGTGGGATTTCTTATCTACAGTTATGAAGTGAAGACTGAACTCCTGCTCCCTGGTATATTTACAGTCTTCTTGTACTTTAAACCTGAGGTTCTCGACCTCTTCGGTGTCACACACCAGTTGTCAAGGATCGGTGACAAAAACAGGTCCAAACAATGAGACTCGTGTTAAAACCTACACGAAGGTCAAGAAGGTCAAAGTGACCCCCACAGTGAGCAGCTGTGGGGATAGAACTGTTCTTTCACTGGTACTGTAAATGGAACTTTTCTTTTTCCTCTTTTTGATTAAATTAGACGTGACTGATGATCAAAGGCAAATTAGAATTTTCTTTTTTTGTCTGTGGCCCAGTGGTTGAGAACCCCAGGTTTGATCGGTTCCAGAGTGTTTCTCTGAAGACGTCATAGTAAGATCTCCGTTCACACTCTGTGGAGAGTTCCTCTAATGTTCCACAGGAGGCGATGTGCTGCAAAGAAACAGCTCCGTGACCCCCATGTTGATCCCCACGTGCTATTTATTGAAAGGTAAGAATTTCTGATTGTTTGTGTCGAGTTTTCACTTTGACAAAATTTCAAGCGATCTGACTTGAACACTGATGGTTGTTGGTTTGAATCCCCAGCTCCATGGAGGCAGTAAGGTGCTGACCACGTGGAATTGAGCAACTTTTCCGCTGAGGTTATCAGTCTAACGTAATCTCAGCTTTTCTGAGTAGACGGTCGGAGAACGGGCTGATGATCTATGAACCACAGCTTCAACAGAACCTGAGCAGGAGGACACACACACACACACACACACACACACACAGTCACAGTCTCTCCGACACTAAGACCAAGGATTTCGGTGCAGACAGAACTGATTGCAAATGTTTTGTTTATTGAAAAGATTTTTCGGGTGATAAAAGCTGTACATGAAGGAACATGAAGGAACATGAATGTGATTGTTGCTGTGATTCTTCTTCTTTACCAGTTGTGCTACAACACTGGTGTGTGTGTGTGTGTGTGTGTGTGTTCATAAAAACGCAGTTTACAGGAATTTAAAAACAAATCTCCATAAAATCTCACCAAGAAACGAAATGTAAAAAACAGTTTACAGACAGAGAGCACAACATCGTCAACATATCGCTTTAAATTGTACAAATATATATACGACATTTATATTTACAGTAAACTGGAGTGAGTGGCCACGCCTGATGTTCCTGAATCAGCTGACTGGATCACGGTCGGAGTGTGAGGTTCTGTTCGACCCCGGTCTGGGACGGGAATCAGTACCAGGTTCTCCTCCACCTGCTGTGGTGTCCGACCGTAACGTTTCACTGAGTTAAGTCATGGGTGAAGTGCACGGATCTAGGCTTGTGTGTGTGTGTGCAGTAGCTTATAGTGTGACATCAGAGATCGTAGAAATGAAGTTTAAGTTCTGTTTAAGGCGACAATCTTACCAGTAATTTAAAGAGATTTAAAAAAAGAAAAATCACATTGAAGTATTTTACAACAGAACTGAGTGACCATTTAAAAAAAACAGAAAGGAACTGGCACTGGGGGGTTAAAGTACACACCTGCCTTACACTTCTGTACATTTCTGGTAGTGAAGTCACAGGTGAAGCTTATTTGGTAAAAAATTCTCTAAAACTAGATCGAAGCTGAACTCGGATTTTTGACATCCCTAAAAAATCCCAGTCACGGTGGTGATGTCACCTGGTGTTGAGGATACGTGGTGTGGGGTCACCTGGTGTGTGAACAGTGAAACTACGTCTGTGGTACCAGGAATCTTCAAAACCATGGATCCAAACCCTGACCTGACGGAGTCATGACAGATGTCAATCATTTAAAGTGCACGTGTGACGACAATCGATGATCAAAACAAAAATCAAGATGGTGTCAAAGAGAAACCACGGACGTGGACTGGAGGTAAAAGTACAATCTCAGGTTGGGTCAAACATTCCTGTCAGTACTGCACAACCGTGTACAGTACTGACAGTACTACAGTATCAGACTAGTCGTTACATTCTCTCTCTTTTGTTTCACTTCAGGGAACTAAAGAACTTCAACTGTTTAACTGCAGGAGACACAGCTGTTCATGTGGAGTCAACCTCAGGGTTGTGGACCACTGTCATTTGGAGTCAACCTCAGGGTTGTGGACCACAGGCGTGCCGGGGCAGCCAGGCTGCTGGACCTGCTTGTCCTTTCATCCCCCTGGGGTAAGATCACGTTTAAATTAATTTGTCAAAATCCACAAATGAAATTCCTGCCAATCGACCAATCAACGCCTTCGCGGATGATGTTCTCGTTTACTTTAGACATTTTAAAAAAAAGAAAAGGCTGAAACAAGAGAGAGGAGCGTGAGTGGACAATGGGTACCTGGAACTTTTGTTCACAGAACTTGCTCTCATTCAGACGGATCTGGTTTCCCTCCATTTGGACCTGATCAGGGTGCAGAGATCGGAGTTCTTTTTCTTTGAGACACAATCATTAAGTAAACGCACAACAACAACAACACTGATTAGAAAATGCCCCCCGTAATAAATACAGTTAAGACTGTGTTAAAGAGACCGATCCTCGCTTGGGGTCTGAACCCATGGTTGGACGTCCAGACCTGCTCCTGTGAGACCAGTACAAACGTAGAGAGGGAGCTCGGGGCAGATGGGGTAACAGTACCGATGATGTCACTGAAAGGCAAACGAGGGATTCTGAGAACCTGCTTCTCTGTAACATTACTCCCTTGTCTTACGCTCGTGCTTTAGCTAAAGCAGCGCTGACGCAACCTCCAGTTTGTCCTCTCTCTGACAGTGCATGTACATGTGGTGGAACACAACCCAGATGTTGAAGGACACAGAGTCTCGCACCCGACTCCTGCAAGTTTTTTTTACCTGATCTAAAATTTGTCAAGGTCTACTCCCCCCTTCCCTCCCCCACTGTTGATTAATGCATTTCACATATATGTTAGCATTAGCATTCTGCCGCCTACAAGCTAGGTGTTAGTTGGGTAAATACGATGCAGGGACAAGGCGTGGCTTTCAGATCGATGTACCCCAGGACAAAGTCTCGCAGCGTGGTCAGACGGTGGTTGGGGGGGAGTGGTCGTCTGTGGTCTCCACCTTCTGCTCCGGTGAGAAGCAGAGGAACAGGCGTCGGCCCAGGCTCTTGAAGGCAAACGTGAAGTACATGATGTGGCCCATGGCCACGAAGGAGACGGAGATAATGACGAGCAGGCCGAAGGCCTGGGGGTTGGGAGCCAGGATCACCATGATAAAGTGCAGTAGGTCTAAGAGGTAGTTCATGGAGTTCTGGACGCCGTTGACCACACCTCTCTCAGACTCGATAACGTTCTCCTGGATGAGTTGGGTGACGGTCAGGTCGAAGGACCACAGTCCTGCGGAACACAGATCAACAATCAGCTTTTTACAGCCACATTAAAACCACTGTACAACTCAAAAGTCGCTGCGGCAGGAATTATCAGTCAGCATTATTGGCATCAAAGGTCGCAGATACGGCGCTGACGGATCCAGAGTGGAATTATATTTCACTTATGAAAGGGTTCAAACTGTGACACCGGTCGAGTCACCGCGAGGACAGCACTAAGAAAAACATTTATCATTTGTGACCTTGTGACAGGAACTGATACTGGTTCTGCTAAAGCATGACTTCCAGTGGGTCAAAGAGAAAATACCAGGAGCAGCTGATCAGCCAATCAGAGCAAACCACGTGTTCTTAACTAAACTGGAATGGAAACCTGTTCAAATGACTGAGGCTCCTCAACACGTTCTGATCTGACACTAGGGCTGTGTGCGACACGGGGGCAACGATGTGATATATTGCGATACTATAGGCATGGCGATAAATTGAGTTTTTATGATGTGTGTGTCCAGTGATAGCTGCTGGTCTCTAAACAGCTAGGACTGTATGTTGGCAAGAATCTGGTGATTCAGTACACATCACAATACGCAAATGGGAATTGGTGATAAAAAATTAATACACTGAGAATATTGATAAGGTATCAGGAAACTAAATATCGCGATATTTCAGTGTATCAGTATTTTCTTACACCTCTATCTAGAACCGTCTGAATTTTGAGAACAGGAAGTGGAGATGGTAGACCTTCAAAGTAAGAGTCGTCCTTCACTCACCAACTCTAGCAGCAATGACGCCAGCGAACAGCAGACCAACAGATATGTAGGACTGCAGGGGGGGCACCTCGTCGGTCGGGGCTCCGATGGTGGCGTTCACGCCCACATGAACGTTGTGCTCAGGGTCGAGCAGGGTCTCCCCCATCAGGTGGGTGTAAAGGTCCTGGAAGGGTGAGACACTCAGGTCGAAGGGGCTCCCGGGGGTGAAGACGGAGGCGACGCACATCATGAGGCAGGAGAGCTGAGCCACGCCTGAGATGAAGCCGGTGCGGATCAGGCCGCACTTCTTGCGGATCCAGGTGAAGGCGACGGTGCCGACGATGCCACACACGGCCGAGGCTCCCATCAGAAGGCTGAGCACCGAGCCGTTCAGGCCCTGGGTGTAGGCGTAGCCGGTGGTGATGCAGTCGAATCCCAGCACAGTCATGTAGAGGAAGGAGAGGGACATGCCGGCCAAAAAGATGTTCTGGTTGTAGTAGGCCACCCAGCCGCCCTTCAAGGTCCGCAGGGGTTCGGTCACCTGGTAGCAACAGCCCTGCTGCCGAGAAGGTTCCGGACTGGCCACCACAGAGGACTCAGTTATGAGGGGCTGAACAGACTCTGGGTTCTGACCGTTCTCCACGTCTGAAACAGAAGATCAGAATCAGAACGGTTCCTTAACAAGAACATAAGGAATGAGGCCAGCACCCAGTCTGGTCCACCAGGTGACACGCTGGCCCACCTCACCCGTCCTCCAGCCTCACACACCCACATTATACAAGGCACGTGGCTGAATTATTCTGGCGTTTATACGATCAGTCAGACCGGAGATGACCTTTGCCCTCATTCCTGACTCACACAGTCAGGTGTTTCTGTCCTGATGTTACACAACCACAGGGAAGAGTGTGTTCTCTCTGAGACAACATGTACAAGGTCAGAGGTGAGAAGGTCACGGTCACACTCATGTCTGTGAGAGATAACCGTTCAAACAGGACTAGTTAAGACTAGTTATGTGGAAGCTGAGCCTCAACAGGGTTTGATAGACTCACACGTCTACAGCTGGTCCTGAGTGAACCAGTCAATGAGGAGATGTCACTGATCAACCACCACTGATGAGACGGGGTGAGGGTGAGGGTGAGGGTGAGGGTGAGGGTGAGGTGAGGGTGAGGTGAGGGTGAGGGTGAGGCGAGGGTGAGCCGTACCTTTCTGAGGACTGAGCTGTTTGAGCTCCTGCGGCGCCTCCTTCTGTCCGGCCTTCACCGCCAGCGCCGGCGTCTTCTGGTAGACCTTCCACAGCAGAGCGTACTCTACGCACATGGAGCACAGGTTCCACCCAGAGATGAACCCGCAACCAATGAAATGGGAACCGAAGGCCATTATCTGTCCCACCAGCATCGGAGCCAGGATGTTGGTCAGCTGGTCGATGATCCTCACGGTGGCGTTCATGTCTGTTTGACCCAGAGAGAACCAGACCATATTAATGGATCCGGGACCAGCGATACGTCCACTGTGAAACGCAGTACTGGTACTGCACATCGATAAAGTGAGTATTTCCAACCATAAGACAAACTTCTGGAGGAACCAGACTACGGTCAGTCAGCACCGTGTGGACTAAAGGTCTGGGCCACACTGACGACACAAACCCACACACTAACCTGCTAATTTAGCGCTGTCCTGACCCGCCACCACCACGACCCAGTCCCTCTGGATGGTTATGGATGTGGCTGTGCTGGCGAGGTTGGCGACGTTGGCGATGGAGATGACCAGGATGTAACAGACGGTCTGAAGAAGAAGAACCGACCCAGTGACAGATGGAACAGAAAGGCAAATATATGAGTATATTTATAAATATATGTATGTTCACATGTATACATATATGTGTGTATGTGTATATATGTGTTGTTCTGACTGTTGTACAGCTGAGAACATTCTCTAACCACTGAGGGACCGGCCTTGAAGAACCTGCTGACCGCTCACGGCCCGGCCCACTCTCTTCTCCCACCCCGGGCCCTGAGGCCTCCCACGTAGGCCAGGGGCCACATTCCCCTCCACAGAGGAGCTTTGTGTTTCAAATCCCAGACCCAGCAACTGGTTCAGACCTGGTGAGTCTGCATGTGTGAACTGGTCCAGGTCCAGACTGAACCAGTCTCACCAGTCTATATGGTACCAGTCACAGACCACTACCAGCAGGGATGGGACTTTAGAAGCGACTGTTGCGGAGGACCGGTTGCTCACCAGAATCCATCCGTTGTAGAGGTGGGCGAGTTGCTCCTTGAACTGGAAGACCAGCATCAGGAGGACTCCGCAGGCGATGACGCAGCTGTTCTGGACCAGCAGTGAAGTCTGGGCCACTGTGGACAGAGAGTGGAGGGAACGTCAGTGATCGCCGCTCCACCGCGGAACATTTGTTCCTTCAAATGTAGCTACGAGACGCCCGAAACAATCTCCATCCCCTGAACCGACCCACAATGCCTTCCCAGAATTCCTTTGGATTAACATTCCAGCGGAGCGGCACTGAACTGCGAAAGTGTTGGAGGAGAACTTCATAATCTGACACAGTCCACCGGATTAGATCAGGGGTGTCAAACATACGGCCCGGGGACCAAAACTTGATGAATTTTGAAAAAGTTTAGGATAGTTCTTTGTGCAATAATATTTCATTAAATATGAATACAATTATGGTTGTACTGATCCGGCCCACTTGAACCAAGGTGAGTTTTTCTAACAGTGTTTTGAACCCCCCCTGCCCCCATTTAAAAAAATGTTAGATTTTTTTTTTAAAGAAAAATACACTTTAATGTCTTTTTAGGTTCATGGAGTAATAATCTGCTTCGTCATCATGGCTTCTTTGTTCCTCATCCTCTGGAACTTAGTTCTCTCTTATTGCAACAATTTGAGGGCCAAGATTTCATCAGAACGACACAGTTAAACAATACATGTACAAATTCCTGCACTGAGTAAATGAATCGCTGACAGAGAAACTACTTGGGTTAGTACCTTTAAGTCTGGGGTTCTTGTCCACCCAGTCTCCAATAATAGCCCCCAGCAGCAGCACGGAGCCCGCCACCACCAGCCCGTAGACGGCGGTGAGGAGCAGGCTGTTCCCATAGAGCTCCACCAGGAACACGGCCACGGCAAAGTTCCACATGCGGTCACCCTGGACACATCGGTGATGATGTTTTTGATACCAGATCTTATACTACTCTCTACATTTAGTGTCAATTTCTTTAAAACCAAACTGTTTCATCACTGGTGTCCCAGACCAGTTTTCTGGATTGACCTTTGACCTAGAACAAAGAACCTGGGCATTTCTTTACATTTTCATTGACTTCAGTGCTTATTTTGGAACATTTGAATTTGCCTTTTGTACCTACAACCCTTCAATCTCAAATTGGGTCATTCTCATGAAATCATATACACCCTGGCAGTGATGATTTTAGTGAAATAACAAACACATTTTTCTCTCTGTATGGATCAAAGAGTCATTTCAAAATAGAAATACATTTTATTTACATTTAATGCATTTTTTGTCAATTTTCTCATTACCGCAATGCGTCCAGATTTGTCTGGATGTATGTAATGTTGTTATTTTAATATATATCCTATTCTGGCTAAACAATAGCAATTGTTGCTATTAAAAAGTGATGAAAAATTACTGTCCGTGAGACAGTATTAATTATCATTACTGATGCAGCTAGTTTCCTACATTTAAAAAAATGTTAGATTTTTTTTTTAAAGAAAAATACACTTTGATGTCTTTTTAGGTTCATGGAGTAATAATCTGCTTCGTCATCATGGCTTCTTTGTTCCTCATCCTCTGGAACTTAGTTCTCTCTTACTGCAACAATTTGAGGGCCAAGATTACGTCAGAACGACACAGTTAAACAATACATGTACAAATTCCTGCACTGAGTAAATGAATCGCTGACAGAGAAACTACTTGGGTTAGTACCTTTAAGTCTGGGGTTCTTGTCCACCCAGTCTCCAATAATAGCCCCCAGCAGCAGCACGGAGCCCGCCACCACCAGCCCGTAGACGGCGGTGAGGAGCAGGCTGTTCCCATAGAGCTCCACCAGGAACACGGCCACGGCAAAGTTCCACATGCGGTCACCCTGGACACATCGGTGATGATGTTTTTGATACCAGATCTTATACTACTCTCTACATTTAGTGTCAGCCTAGAAAACTAGCAACCGCTAGTGATGTAACGATGCGTCGTCAATCGATTAAAAACCGATAGAAATCCATGACATTTCGCAATCGGATGAAATAAAAAATAAATAAATTGTGCATCAAGGTGTAGGGAGTAGGCTGCGTCATCTCAAAAAGTCACTGGTCACATTAAACTGTGAACTGAAAAAAAAAACGTGATAAAATCATATCATACACAAAAGAAATCGTGATAAAAAACCACGAACCATATTCTATCGTGAGTGAAGCGCATCGTTACATCTCTAGTCATTACTGTGGTTCTGTTTTCACCGTCGTTCTTCTTCCATCTCTCTCTCGGTGTCACACTGCCCTACTCCTGACCCCTGTCCCCCCTACCCCCACGTGTGTGTCTGTAGTGTCCTGTCAGAGGACGTGTCCACACATGTTGAACCCTGGGGTGTTGGACTCACCCATGTTGACATAGCGTGGCCCATGTAGATCAGGAATTTGGCTGAAGTGAAGAAATCTCTCACTGTCTCTGCAAAAAAAAAAAAATATATATATATATATATCCTGTCAGAAAAACCTGGAGTGGAACGGCCTGGATTTCTACTGACCTACTGACACCTGTTCATCACTGTCAGGGTTATTATGGGATACAGGCGTTCAGTTCAAAGCTAACATTTAAATATATATATTTTCAAACTGGTCGTAATAACAATAATAATGTCAGAGGTAAAAAACAAAAAACAAAAAACAAAAAAAAACTCAGCAGTTCTTACGGCTTCTACAATGATCCGTGTACTCGAAGTACTGTATGTGTTAGTCGTTCATACTGACTGTAACTTTCTAATATCAACGTATTCACAGTATTTTTTTTTTTACGAAATAAGATGAAGATTATACTGTAGTACTAAACGTGTACTGAAGAAACAAGAGAAACTTTTATACAGTCTGTAATTAATTAATTTAACGAGCGGCACTTCTGTTAATAAATATATTTGTACCGTCCACAGAACGCATATATTTACTATATAACAGTTTACTACAATGTACCACAGTATACATCTGTAGTACACTGTCATAACGATGTATACTACCTTACAATCCATGTGTAGTACACTGTTACTACAGATGTAAACAGATACCTTACTGTAAATAATGTAAATGATATTTCCTAATGCTGTATTGAATATATATATATGTACATATATATCTCGGTATCTCGGTATCTCGGTGCGGTGGAGAACCTACCGCCGCAGCTCTTCTTGGCTCCACATTGATCCATAGTGCAGCTGTTGATGTTGTTTTCCTTCTCGGCTTCTTTTGTGCTGTACTCGGTTCTTCCGCGGACGCTGACGCCAAACTCGGACAGGACGCTTCTTTCGCTCTCCAAACTTAGCTAACACTGTAGCTGAAGTCGGAAAGAAATGCTTTTATAAAAGAGGACTTCGCTCCTCCGCTGTCATAAACAGGAATGCTGACCACGGCAGCGAACTTCTGCAGATCGGTTCGTCGCCCTCAGCCCGCTGTACTGTAATCAGCCCGCGGCCCATTAATATATTACAACCGTCATGTGACCGAAGGGGCGGAGCCAGCGCGCAGAGACGGCTCACAGAACGTGTCATTGTTTACATATAGTCGTCTCATCCTCCGTGTTTTTCTTGCGTTTGTGAATAGAATTTCACACCAACACACGTTGATTCTCAAATTGAATACATTTTCTCTTGTTTTTTTTGTTGTTGTTGTTTGTTTTTGCACAGACTGTAATGTAAATCAACAGAAGTGTCGGCATGTCAGTCTGGTGGAACATTATTCAGTTGTTTACTACAACATATGAACCAATGGCCGCTGGGGAGTGCAGGGGGGAGGGGGACGACAGAGACCCTCACCCTGAAGTAGGGATGGAGCAGAGACTGGGGAACTGTATTTACACTGCAAAAAAATTACTATATATATGTGTATTTATATTTGTGTATATACGTATAAATATGTGCATATAAATATATATTTATATATGTACATTTATGTGTATATACACAGGGTCAAATATAGAGACAAAACTTCACCCTTCCATTCACACCGATGGTTAAAGTGAAAAAAAAAAACCTAATACCCAATCTATATGTTTATAGGGTGTGGAGAAAGTCATATATATATATATATATATATGACTTTCTCCACACCCTATAAACATATAGATTAGGTATTAGGTTTTTTTTTTTCACTTTAACCATCGGGGTGAATGGAAGGGTGAAGTTTTGTCTCTATAATTGACCCTGTGTATATACACATAAATGTACATATATAAATATATATTTATATATGTACATTTATGTGTATATACACAGGGTCAATTATAGAGACAAAACTTCACCCTTCCATTCACCCCGATGGTTAAAGTGAAAAAAAAAAACCTAATACCTAATCTATATGTTTATAGGGTGTGGAGAAAGTCATATATATATATATATATGACTTTCTCCACACCCTATAAACATATAGATTGGGTATTAGGTTTTTTTTTTTCACTTTAACCATCGGGGTGAATGGAGGGGGGAAGTTTTGTCTCTATATTTGACCCTGTGGATATACACATAAATGTACATATATAAATATATATTTATATATGTACATTTATGTGTATATCCACAGGGTCAAATATAGAGACAAAACTTCCCCCTTCCATTCACACCGATGGTTAAAGTGAAAAAAAAAAAACCTAATACCCAATCTATATGTTTATAGGGTGTGGAGAAAGTCATAAATAAATATATATATATATATACATATACATATATATATAATATGTGTATATATGTAAATATATATATAGGTACATATGGTAAAGTGTATATATATATATAATATGTGTATATATGTAAATATATATATAGGTACATATGGTAAAGTGTATATATATATATAATATGTGTATATATGTAAATATATATATAGGTACATATGGTAAAGTGTATATATATATATACATATATATATATAATATGTGTATATATGTAAATATATATATAGGTACATATGGTAAAGTGGATATATATATACACAATATGTGTTTATATGTAGATATATATATACATACAGTGGTGTGTGTGTATACATGTATATGTGACTATATTTACATCCAGAATGTTCATGTCAAGATGGCTTGGATTTAATGTCATCGAGGGAAATATTTTCACCTGCTTGATTGTAGTAAACGTTCATCTAACAGTGAGACTAATAATAGTAAATTAGTTCCCAAGAGTCACAGTTCTAGCACACGAACAGTTCACAGAACTATTCTCACCTGAAAAGGAACCACAGAGTCCTACAATCCTGCGTTTAGACCAGGAGGACAGGAGATGGGATTATCAGTTACTTTATTAACGGGTTCTAAAATGTCATTCTTCGCATTCACGCCACCGCGTCAACAGTTTTTACATTTGTGGACAATAAGTTCCAGTTCCTTCCTGGTCCACGGTAATGCCGGGTCATCTCTGAGTCAGTGCCTGTGAGAACATATTTGGAGCTGAGCGTCGACAAAAGGTTAATCTGAGCCTTTTATGATCTATTCAAGGATCACACTGAGCCTCAGACACTGAGCTGCTGCAAACACACGACCACACCATTAGTGGCCCCGGTGTGTCAGCCATGTCCCGGGTTCACTACCTGTCATCAGCGGTCAGGACGCTGCTGTGTCATTCAGGTGCATCTGTTCCTTTGACCGCTCCTCTGCAACAACACGCTGTGTTTACACGGGCTATTTTTGTACCTCCAGAACAAAAATATGAAGATGACTCGTCCGCCGCGGCACTCTGTTCACTGTTGTGAAAAGAGGTGATAGACGCACACGTACACACACACACTAGAAAAGGACGGTCCCCTGAAGAGCACTGTACATGAAAGACTGTGAGATTGGGTTGGGTTTTAAAACTCTTTTCAAAAATCATTTCAGTGATTGATTCTGGTCATTCAGTCACCTGACTGATTTTCTATTTTTTCCAGAACCGCGGCTGTGGTGTCGTGGTTTTTTTTTCTGTCTACACCAGAGAACAACAAACATCAAAGGTCATCTGGCTGTGACACCACCTGGTTCCTGGGATTGGGTGGACATCTGGCTGCGACACCACCTGGTTCCTGGGATTGGGTGGTGAACACCTGACAGTTGTATTGGATCAATAATATTGCAGCAAAATGGGCAACACACCAACGTCAGACCACCACCTGGTGGTGGAGTTGTTTGTTGTGTTAAGGTTTCTTTGGACCTTTGACCTTTGTTGTTCAATTTAATGTTTGGTTTCACAGGTCAAAACCGAAAAAAAAATCCTGATTGGACTGTTTTAGTGCTGGTGTCACAGATCACAGACCACCTGTTCTGATTTGTACAGCTTTGAAATTTAAAATGTTTCCACTTTGTTATAAAACTCTTTACTTTAAATGTCTGCATTTAAGTTGTACGTGTTGAGATTGATGCAATATGGGTCATTTGTTTTAAGTTTTTAAAATGAAATGAATGATTTTATTTATTTTACCCAATGTAAATATGTATGGCTGTTTAAAGGACAAATCAAACTAACCAATTCAATATGAAAAAAAAAAAGAAAAAAAAGGAATAAAGTCAGGCCCGTGATGAGCGTCACTTATTTTCATTGCTAAGATGTGGCGAACCTAACTTAAAGAAACTATCTTATGTTTACTTTGCACCATCTAGAGGCCAGAAAAGAGGGACTTAATGCTAACAAAGATAAATTACCATTAAAAATATGTTAACAATTATATGTTTTATATATCTATCGTTATAATTATATATTATTGATTAATAATTGAAATATTTTCTTAGAAGGTCATTTCCCTCCTTTATATTACTTGTGTAAATGAATCGATAGAGCAACAGGAAGTACCAAGCTAACCCGGAAACACTTGGGCTACACGCGGCTTGCTTCTTCTGTTTTGCTCCGAGTACAAACGGCTTCAAAAGTCTTTATTGTGAACGGAGTTCGCTCGAAATGTCCACGAATAGTCAGGATAACAAAGACGGTTCTGACGAAAAGTCTGCGCTCAAGGAAGAGCTGAACAAAAAGGTACCGATGTCCGTTTGACGTGTAGCTCGAGCAATAGAAGAGGCTACAAACACCGGGCTAACTTTTTATCCAGTAAACACGCACATAAATAAGATACAAAAACTTTGTATAAATAAGGAAAAACCCGCATGTTTTTACAACACAACTTAAAATATGAGTTTGTCAATGAAGCTATGAAATAATGTGTTGTTAAAATCCAGGTCAAGGAGAAGAAAATTGTCGTGGACGAGCTTTCTAATCTGAAGAAGAGCAGGGTGAGAGCTGTTCGTCAGAAATGTTTTAAATGTCTAGTTTTATTCCCATGTTTAAAGTTAATTGTGATGTTGTTCCTTCTTTAGAAAGTGTACATCCAACAGAGAAACAGCAACGTCTTCTTCTTGGCTGACAGAGGACAAACACTGAGTCACTGCAAAAGTGAGCATTTAAATTCATACGAAAGTTTATCGCAGCTTCATTGGGTCTAAATGTTGAATTCTGCCAAATCAACCTTTCTTCTTCTACCTTCAAGTCAGAAAACAAACGGTTTCATTTATACATAACTAGGTATTGTATGACATCTTGTGGTGATGTAATTTTATAAAAAAAAAAAAATTTTTAGTGCATTTTATGTCAGCTTTTTCATTCGTACAGATTTGTCTGAATGTATGTTATGTGGTTATTTTAACAGATTTAAACAAACAGAAAAGAATGACCCAAATACTTGAAGTGACAGTAACAGTACTTTTTCTGATCTCAGAGGAACTGGACGTCATGAAGAAGGACCTGCAGGACATGTAAGACAGACCCCGTCCACATCTTCACAGCCATGTGTGGAATCTCCTGTCTGTTGAGTCTGTCGCCCGCTTGCTGTGAGTGGGACACGAGGGTTTACGAACATTTGAAGAGGAGGGGGCCTGACTGTAGCCATGACATCACCGTCACCAGCAGCAGTCCTTTTTACCAGTGTTTATTCTCCGCCCACGTCCTCCACATGCGGGGTGTCCTCACCCCCCAGCCTCTTCAGGACAGCACGGGAAACATACTCATGTGGAATGGGGAGATTTTTGGGGGTCTGCCAGTGACGGCCACAGAAAACGACACAGTGGTTTTACTTCAGAGGCTGTCGACCTGCGGCAGCGCCTCGGGTATCCTGTCTGTTCTGTCCAGTGTGCGGGGGCCGTGGGGGTTCGTTTACTACCAAAAGGCTGCAGAGTATCTGTGGTTCGGACGAGATTTCTTTGGAAGACGTAGTCTGCTGTGGAAGTTTGAGGCGGGGATTTTAACGCTCACATCTGTCGCTGCCAACTTGTGTCAAAGTGATGAGTCAGTCTGGCACGAGGTCCCGGCTGTGGGGGTGTACGGGGTAGATCTGAGGGCAGCGTCTCGGGCGGACCGGCTGACGTTTGAGGTTTATCCCTGGACCTGTACGGGAGCAGACGACCTTCCTAAGGTCGATACGATATCTGAGTCTGTTCCCAACGGCTGTACTGTCGTAGTGAACCAATCAGGACTGTCGCTCACCTCCCCTGTGTGTCGCCTCAATGTGGCGCTGCCAGAGCTCATAAATCACTCCCAGCCGCCGGTCGATGATCTGGACCATCTGCTGACCAACACGGAGGTCATGGATGATGTCGACAGTCTTGTCCACGTCCTGAGTCAAGCAGTGAGGCGGCGGGTCCAGGCTCTGCCTCTGGTACCAGATGGTGATGACGACCGGGCCAGTGTGGCCATACTCTTCTCTGGAGGCATTGATTCTATGATCCTGGCGGTCCTGGCTGACCGTCACATCCCTGCAGAGAAACCAATCGATCTGCTCAACGTCGCATTCAAACTGCAGGAGAAAAAGAAGCAGAAACAGTCGGTGAAAAATTCTAAAAAGAAGCCAGTGACTGCTGAGGCTGATGTCACTGATCCAGGAACGTTCAGACCCTTCGACGTTCCCGATAGAATCACTGGGAAAGCAGGCATGAAGGAATTACAGCAAATAAGTCCAGAAAGAAGATGGAACTTTGTTGAAATCAATGTAACACCGGAGGAACTGAAGACGCTGCGGGGGGAGCGCATCACCCACCTGGTGTGGCCTCTGGACACGGTGCTGGACGACAGCATTGGATGTGCTGTGTGGTTCGCATCCAGGGGGTCAGGGGTCATCATGGAGGGCGGCGAGACGCGGCCTTTCTCATCCTCAGCCAAGGTGAGGCACTGTTTACACCAACAAGTGATATTAATACTAGGGTTCCAATATTAACTTTTTGTAGATATTACAGATATTACATATATTTCATAATGATGCTAATACTTAATATCGGCAGATAATATCGGACATCTCTGATTAATATTCATTCACATACAGTAAATCAGTACTTGGTACTCACTGCCACGTTCTGTGTCGTAGGTGATTTTGACAGGGATCGGAGCAGATGAGCAGCTGGCAGGTTACTCCAGACACAGGGTCCGTTTTAAGACGTCTGGCCACCAGGGTCTGATCCAGGAGCTGGACATGGAGCTGGGCAGGATCTCCTCCAGGAATCTGGGCAGGGATGACCGGGTGATCAGTGACCACGGCAAGGAAGCCAGGTGGGTGTCACCGATACTAACTTAGTGACAATCCAATCCTTAACAACCCTGTAATAGGGATGTCCACCTAATATCAACCGACTGATATTATTGGTCCGATATTAGGATAATTATGTAATATCTGTAATAATTATCAGTTTTTCCTCCGATAATGAAAACCCGATAACACAATATCTGGGTTTTGTCAAATATGCTGGAATTGCTTGCAAACGGCTGCATATATCGCAATCAGAAATTAAGTGTTTACACAGTATGGGCATATCGGATATTGGCAAAAAGTGAATATCAGACATTCCTAACCACTGTAATTGAGCAAAGCACAACCCTGTTCCACCAAAGAAGAAGCGTTTCAGACCATGAACCTTGTTTTTCTTGAACCTTCAGATTTCCGTACCTGGACGAGGACGTGGTGAGTCACCTGAACTCCCTGCCCGTGTGGAAGAAGGCAGATCTGTCGCTCCCTCGCGGCGTCGGGGATAAACTCCTGCTCAGGTTGTTGGGGAGGCGGCTAGGCCTGGCTGAGTCCGCAGTCCTGCCCAAGCGGGCCATGCAGTTTGGCTCCCGCATCGCAAAGATGGAGGACGGCAGAGAAAAGGCCTCGGACAAATGCACGCGGCTCCTGACTGGTTAGACAGACCTGCAGCTAAGAGGGTGAGACGTGTCAACAAAATAAAACTAAACCTAACCCTAAATTAAAGAGGAATCTGTGCTGGTTCTCCTGCAGTGATCCAGTCTGGTTCTGTCCAGTTTTAGGTTACCTGTCATTTTGTTTTGATTCTCACTGCAGAAAGTCACAAATTGGATATTAAAATTTTAATTGTTAAATCAAATCAATTATAAATGACTATAACAATTTAGTCATTATTCTTGTGTCTGATGACTGTGTGTAAATGAATGTGATTGCAGAGATTCCAGTTATTTTTCAAAATAAAAGACCTTCACACAGATAATTAGTAAAATAAAAATAATCTTTATTGTTTTCTTCTGTGCAGCCTGGTTCTGGTCCAGACCTTGGTACTGGTCAGGAGCCAAGGGTGGTTAAGACCTCTGATCTACACCATGTAGGACTTGACGTCTTGAAGGTTTTCTCTGAAGTACCGATCACATTCTATGTAGGAAGTCAAGTTTCCAACATCAAAACGCCCAGAAATCTGATGGACGTAAACTGGATTCCTGAAAACAAACAAATGAATCTGTGACATGAAGAATCGTTAACCATCGTTAATCTGTCACTGTAACCTGGATCGCCCAGAATCACCTTGGAATGAGCCACGACACAAAGTTTCCCGGTGCGTCCCTCTGTTCAATCGGAGCTTCCTATGGGGGGGGGTGATGGTGTTACTCAAACATTCTGTTCAGTCAAAAGTTTCTCATGTGGAAAAATAAAAACTCTCTAATCGTCACATCATCACCTTCTTTTCCTCGAGGAACACGTCCAGCTGAGGGAGACTCGTCTTTGAAAACACGTAAAAACAGGGACACTGAGGGGAAAAAAGAGAAATATTTACCTGGTTAACCGTCAATATATGAAACAACAACGTTACAGGAAAACACTGTTGGTGTCTGTGGAACAGGTTCTGTTTCAACGCCTGAATGTCACTACGCCTACGTAGGGACCTGACGTCTGGGTTTAATAGTCGATCACCGCCACCTACTGTTACTAAGGTTATAACGCGCGATTCATGTTTTATTTCACATGATGCGAATTGTCACATATTTGTATCGATATTTAACAAATTTCCGATTCACCGTTACACCCTCAGTAGTAACGATGCGGCGCGTTCCTGTGGAACTCACTGCTCTCCTGGAGTCGGTCTCTGATGGAAGAGGTTTCTCCTTCATGCAGACACACAGCTCAGCATCAACTTCCAGGATTCCGTATTTACGTGTTTCTGTGCAATATTAGAATAAGTTACTTTTAAAAAAAAAATAAGAAAAAATAAATATTTTTTTTAAATTTCTCACAGGAGAAAGTACCTTCATCTCTGCACTGGTACGACAGTACTAAGCAGCTGTCCTCACTCTGGAGTTGGAGGTCAGAGAACTTCTCGGTGATTTGTCGGAGACTGAAGTCTTCTTTGAAAAGTGTGTCTCTGTGGAGCAGCGGAGGAGGATTTGACAGTAAGGATGCCAAGTCAAGTATCGATATTTGGGGAAAATAAAACAACAACAACAAAAAAACAATACCCTCCAATAACTACTACATGGTCCTGTATCTTAAAATGTTTCACAGCGAGTTGGAGGCAGGCCACAGCACCGAGACGGTCCTGGTGAAGTAAGAAAAGTACACGCTTTAGAGTTTTTTTTAAATTATTTTTTTAATGTAGTCACTTCCACAAACACGAGTGAAATTGGATTTACTTCGTTCGTCTTTGTTTGGTCGCTGAGAACTTGGACCTTTGGGAAAGGAGCGGCCCACTCTTCAAACGCAGCGTAGTACACAGCGTTGGTCTGTGGACAGAGTGAGGGGGAAAAAGGGGGAGACATAAATATGACCTCTGTCCCACATTATTGATTGGACCCTCACCTTCACACTGCTAGCATTATCCCACCCCCAACCTCCCATCCGCTCATTCCATGATTAAAAAAAAGTTTTCTTTACGTTTTTATTATTTTAATTAATTCAGATTTAACACATAAGCACCACCTGCCGGGCTGGAAGAGGAGCTACATCGGTGCGGGATGTAAACAGGATGTTTTCTGCGTGTCATGGTGAGAGTTCAAAGATTACTTTATGACTGTTGGAACGTATTTGTTTGATTATTTGTTTGTTTTTTATCACCTACCACAACGTAGATGGAGTCCACGGCGGCACAGGCGCTCAGAGCGTTGACCCAGTGACTGATCAGAGCACAGTTTCCTACCGGCAGCAGCGGCTTCGCAGTCCCGGCCAGGTGAGCGAACCTCCCGCTACTGTCTCCCTCCACATCCCTCTGTAGCCTGGTACCGTAGCCAGCCGCGAGAACCACGGCCTTCATTTTCCCCTTTTACCCACTTTGTAAGTGAAGCACAGTCTGTGGGTTGAACTATAACTATAACTTACAATCGAGCAGTACTTTTCCTCTCGCGAGACCGGGCAATCAGGTCTGGCGGATGACTTTCAATCGCGCGAGATCACGTCGCTTCCGGTTGATATTTTATAAAATAAAATTCAATTCAATTTAAAACTTACGTCTTTTTATTTAAAATATAACAATAACCTATTTATTTGAATGATGAATGTTCGGACGTGGTCGTAAATCCGAAGATACAAACACAACGGTATTAAATTGTACATTATCTTCTCTGTATACTTTAACTCAGTGTGGACCTTTGTATCATCTGATAATCTCCAATCACATCAGTGACTTGTTATAATAAAACAAATGAGCAGAGCTGTGTTTATTTATTTAACACAAAGACAAATGAACGTTTCCAAACACAGGGTTCTCCAAAGAACTGAGTGTAGCAAAAATACAAAAGAAAAACTTTTACAGTAAATCCAGAGTTTATGTCTTAATCACCGTGTGTGTGTGTGTTCAACAGTTATTCTACATCCTCGCTGTCACCTGCAGCCTCAGCTGCTGCCTGTTCAGCTTCAGGTTCTTGTTCTGGCTGCTGATCGTCTGGGTGGAGGGGTTCTGACTGTAACCCCTCCATCGGTTCTTCAGCTGGTTCTGGCTGAGGGGACGGCGTCTCACTCCTGACTGCAGACTCGCCCTGTGTGAAATCACATCATTGTTCATCTTAATGTCATGAAAATGTTTTTTCCATTTTGAGGTGAAAACGTTCTCGTTGTTTCTCGTACCTGGGACACGCTGTGAGCCTCTTCCTCCTGCGTCTCCGGAGCCACTTGTTCTTGTTCCATCGGTTCTTCTTCCTCTTTTGGGACAACTGTGTCCTGCTGCTCAGACGTCTCAGACATTTCAGATGTTAGGACTGCAGCAGGAAGTGAGGTGGTCTCAAACACAGGGGCGGCTGGAGCAGCCACTGGTTCCATCTGGATGAGAAGACACACAGGTACACACTGAATACACACACACACACTAACAGGTACACACTGAATACACACACTGAATACACACACACTGACTGACTCTGTGTCCGACTGCTCACCTGCTTCTCCACCTCAGGCTCTGCTGGCTTCACCTGTAACTTCCTTTGAGACTCCAGGACGACCATGATGGATGCAGGAATGTGAGCTTGCTGTTGGGCAGAAAAACAGAGGTTAAATCCACGGGTCGTGGCCTTAAAGACTGAGCAGCGATGTACAGTGGAGCCATTTACCTGCAGGGGGGTGAAGGAGAGGACGTGCTGTAGAAGAGGTTCTCTCATCTCTGGGCAACGTTCAAACACACTGTTCAGCTGGGCGGGGGGCAGCTGGAGGAGAACGCTGTAGGACTGAGGCTTGGTCCTTTGGCAGCACTTCACAAATCCTTCCCAAACCTTTGGGTACTTCCAAACCTGTACGAGGACCAAGGACCAAGTTAGTATCTGATCCAGAGGACGGAGACCAGGAGAGACCCAGAGAGAGTCTAGAACACACCTGGGCAAACTACGACCCGCCAAACACTGGTACAAGGTATGTTAAAGACTGATGTCAATCCATCTGTTTCATGCATTACATAAATCAACTGCAATTTTGCACGTTTAATGTCTACCGCCATCTTGTAGACATTAAACGTGCGAAAAATTATCTCTGAAAGTTTAGGTTTATTCTTGTACATTTTGTATAGATTATTTTGCCCAACATTCTACATCCAACCGATACCGAACCGGCCCACCAGTCAAATCTTGAACCTGGTTTTGTCTAGAAGCCGTAGCTGGACTCTGTCCTGACCTGCTTCACTATGAGACGAGACAGGATGTTCATGACGAATCCCCCCAGTCTGGGATACATGGTGAGGGACTGGATCACCGTGCGCATCAGCAGCATGGGGAGGGGGCTGTGGTCCATGAGCTGCTGCATCACCACAGCCAACACCTCGGACGTGTAAACATTCCTTTCCCCAAAGCACAGATTGGTGGCTGAGGAAAAAAGAAAAAAAAGTCAAACAGCTTCAAAGTCTGATCTGAGATCCCAATAATAATAAAGACACAAAGCATTCACAGCACTGACCTTTGATGATGGACTTCATGTCGCATTTGGTCGAGTCGATGTTGTGTAACGCAATGAGGAGGTCTCCTGGAGTCAGAGGAGACACGGAGGAACTTCCCTCGCCTGAAGGAAAACACAGAACTGTTAAAGTACCTTTTGTTTGTTTGTTTGTTTTATTTATTTAAGTTTTTAAATCCCAAACTCTTACTGTGTTGAGTCCCTAACAGTCGGTTGAAAACCTCCTTCACTACGATGGGGTTGAGTTTGATGAGCTTGGGCAGAGCCTGGATGACTTCGTTCTGTTTGTGGAAAGAAGAAAAGAGAAAGTTTGACAGACTGTGTGAAATCACGTGAAGGTGCAGCGCGGTGTCGACCGTGGAGTTTCACCTTCTCCAGACCGTTGATGACAGGGATGAGGAAGCGGACATCTGGAACCCGTTTGTGGTAAAGGTCTCTCACTCTCTCCACCAGCTCTGGAGACGGAGGAACTGAACAGGACAGAGAACTGATTTACATCTGCTCAGGTGTTTCTCCCACGACATGCTTTTCCTTTTCCGTTTACCTTTATCTGTCAAAATGTGGAGACAGCGCGTCACCAAAGTTTCTGCTCCTTTCGGACAGTTCTCCACCAAAAGCAGGAGTTCCGGAGAGTTCATTCCCATCCCACGAATCTACAAAAGACCAGGAGGAAACAACTCAGCAGAACTGTCTGATACCACAGGTCCAGAGACACGGACAGAACCCTAGGGGTCACTCACGGGCTGCTCTATGGCTCGGAGAACACTGCGCTTTATGTCAGCGATGGCCTCGGTGTAGACGGACGCCAGTTCATGGACCAGACGGTGGTTGAGAGGAAGAAGAGACAGGTAGAGGAAGAGACACTGTCTCACCGTCTCCTCCGTCCAGGGAGCGGCCACTTCTGTCTCAGACAAACACCAGAGTTAATACAGTGGAGCGGAACCACGTCCATTCAACGATGATGAAGAAAAAGAGAAGTAAACAAAACCGTTTCACAGAGAATTATTATAATTATGCCGGCCGATATTATCGGACATCCCTAATTAAAATATTTGTCACTCAGTCCTAGAGAAACCATGCGTCCAAACCTGTGTCTTTGTCGGCCCCAAACAGCAGAGAGGGGGGGTTGGGGTGGACCAGGAGCTGCAGGTAGTTGAGGGCGAACTTCTCTACGTAGTCTCTGAGATGATCTTTCTCGTACATGCGCTTTAAAAAAGCCAGAGCGGTGGTCCGCACCTGGAACGACATCACAGTCACACAGAGACTTGATTGGACCGTTGGTGTAACATCACAGAGACTTGATTGGACCGTTGGTGTTTTCAACAGGAAACAGGAAACATAAAAAAAAAACCCACCTTCTCTTTTTCATGTGAGCTGAGGTCCAGCAGAACGTGCAGGTACTGGAACTGCCTGGACGGCCGTTTGACGATGAGCTCCTTCAGGGTGGTCATGCCCAGATACACCCGGGACTGGAACACAAGGCACAGCAAACGACAAACGTCTTAGACTTTGACCAGTCAGAGTCAACGATCTGCAGGACGTCGTCTCTCACCTCGTCCTCACAGTAGCGTCTTATCACTTCCAACGCCGACTCTGTGATGACGGGAGCCTCCAGGACCAGTTTGGTGAAAAGACTGTGGTCAACAACGGCAGTTAGTACACACACACACACACACACACTAGGCTTTCAAACTGCCAATGAAAAATGAGTGTGTGTAATGTTCCTTCTTTGACCTCCTGCTAATGTCACGACCTCAGGTGTAAATACGAAAATGCATCACACATTCACACTGTGTGGCTTCTGTTCTTTTTTTAACCTCGTTTTATTTCCTTTGATGTTCTGTGCGATAGCTTATAAGTTTTTTTCTCCAATAACGAAACTGTTGACCAAGATTTAATTCACATACGTCTTCTGTTCCTCTTTAGTAGCAGTGTTAGAAAATATCCATACATTGAAATATCGCAATGATTCAATTCATGATATTGATCGATATTCTACAGCACAGTATTGATTTTTTTTATTACCAATTACCAGTCCTATATTCATGGCGTTGGGTATAGTATGACGATATATCCCAAGATATTGTATCGTTGGACTGTTTGTTGGTACTTTCGCAACAACCAACAGTCAATATTTTATGCAGTAATTTAAAACTAAAAAAGCCATTTTTTCAATTCACGATATTGATCGATATTCTACAGCACAGTATTGATTTTTTAATTACCAATTACCAGTCCAATATTCATGGAGTTGGGTCATTTTATTTCTTCTATTGTGCGCTATACTGACAGTTTTACTACAAAATTGTTTAAAAAGAAATTCCAATATATTGTATCGTTGCCCCTGTATCATTATACGCATCGACAGATTCTTGCCAAAACACATCCGTAGTGTTGAAACACCACTATTTGTTGGTACTTTCGCAACAACCAACAGTCAATATTTTATGCAGTAATTTGAAACTAAAAAAGCCATTTTTACTGCTGTGTGGATGGTGTTGTGTGGAGTGGGCGGTTCCCGTGTGGTTGTTCTGACCCGTCTCTCTGCTCTGGTTTCTCCTGCAGGCCTGACAGCAGCGTGTAGAGACAGTGGTCGTAGCTCTCCAGCACTCCTGACGGCAGCTGGCTCAGGTACTTGTTGTACTCCTGGTACAGGAGGGAAAATGCCAGGTCACTCCTGGTCCTGATGTCCTCCAGGATAAATTCCAGGACGTCTTCCTTCATCACTCCGTGAAACTGTGTCACGAGTCTGGAGAGCAGTTTCACTCGAACCTGGCCCACAAAGACGAACCATCATTAGACCGCAGACCAGGCACTCGTGGGTTAGCCAACAGAATTGGGACATACGTGGGACATTCCACTCTGAGAGATGGCCTTCTCAGAGTGCAGGATGCGTTTGACAGCCTTGAGGGACAACTTCTCGATCTGACCGTCTGATAATGGCTGAACCACGTCGGACAACCTGAAGACTTTTTTCCTCCCGCTCGCCCCGGACATCCTGTGACGAGGACCGTTTGGAGTAAAAGCCGTGAAGGTTTGGCTTAATAATCATTTGAAAAGTGTCACCTTTTACTCACTTTGTCTGTGCAGAAGGCAGGATGGGTTCAGGAAGCCTCTTGGCTGTGGCGGGGACCCCCGCGGTCGGTGCCTTTTCAGTGTAACCCCCCACCACAGAGATGGCTTGTCCAATCATCGCAGCTGGGAGTTTGCGTTTGATGAGCAGGTCTTTGCTTCCGTGCTCGTCTACGGAGTCTTCTTCTTTGATGGCTTCGTCCTCTCGGGCCTTGCACTGCTCCAGTCCTAAGATACAGACGGACAACAATTAACCTTCCACACACAGACCTGAGATCAGACAGGCCAGGAACAGAGCTGCATGTTAGAACAAAGACTAGCTTTATCATTTAATGGTTCCTATAGTATCGCAATATATTGTATTGTTGCCCATGCATCGTGATATGTATTGTATTGCCAGATTTTTGCCAATACAAAGCCCACTAATTAATTAGTGTGAACTAATTTATATTGATTAATACATTGAAACAAAAATGTCTCATTTCATTTTTGCAGAACAGTAAGACGAGGAAAACCATCTGAAGGATTCAAACCAACAACCCGGCACCTGGAGTCTGTGAGTCTCTCATTTTGTTTTTGCAGAAAAGTAAGACGAGGAAAACCATTTGAACAACCCGGCACCTGGAGTCTGTGAGAAGTTTTTACCAACCTGGACCGATTCCAGCTGCAGTCATCTGTGTGGCCATCAGCCTGGCCAGATGTTTTATCTGGGCATCAGTTCCTGCCGACTCCACGGGTGTGTATGTGGCCTGGAAGGACGCCGGCATGGCATCAGGCAGGTAGACCATGCTAATAAGAACCTGCAGTGGACGACAAGGAAGAGGCTCAGACTGACCGTCTTCAGGTAAAAGAACACCTCAGACCGTGCATCACTCACCAGGTTAGCTACGTTCTCCGAGGTCAGCAGTGGACGCAGGAATTCTGCTGTCAAGTCAATAGCTGACTGTGCGACCGGTACAACGGCGGGCTTCGGGGCTGCAAGGGGCATGGGTTCCTCTTTGTCCTCATCGTCTTCCATCAAGGCGGGTTCTAAACACGAGGAACACATTTTCTAATTTCTTTTCTACAGGAGTCAAACCGGCGACTTTGTCGAAATAACTCACCCATCTTGACCTTTTTCCCCTCGGTGTATTGCTCGTGGCGAGTTCGTTTTCGCTGCTCACGCACCGGCGGTGTGGAGCGGTTTATTTCACTCTGAGGCATTCCAAGGTCCAGGAGCAGGGTGCTGATTTGACCCTGGAACTCCAGGCTGCAGGGATGTTTGAGGACGGCCACCAGGTGGAGTTTTAGGTTCTTTCTTACGCTGCTGACCTGGGACTTGGCCAAAGTGGGCGGCAGGTTTGCTATGAGTGTATAGAAAGTAAATAATGATATGAGATAAGTGACATCCAAACACATGTTCATTCTAAAAGAGTTTGGGGACGTACCATGCAGCGTCTCGTACGCCTGTACGACCTTGGACATAAACATTGGCCTCTGACGTGCAATAGTGGCCAGTGAACCTAATGCTGTGGTGAGGTTGATGCTGGAAATAGCTGGGTGGACCATAAAGTTGAGCAGCTTCTCCAGTGCAGACTTGCCCTCCTCACACAGGACATCTGTTGAGGATCAAAACGTTAAAAGGGAAAAAACAATCGTGGCACGACAGGTTGAATTTCTTCAGTCGACTGTGTTCGTACCGTAACGAATGTACGAGTGATCTCTGGGGACTTTGTCCAGGCGGATGTCCCCCTCCTGTCGTTTAGGGACGTCGGAATCAGGTGTCCGCGGCGACAGCGTGATAATCAACGATTCAGTGAACTTGATGGCATGAGTGCGTACGCCGTCATTTTCAGAATCCAGCAGGGCCAGAACATCGCCTTTCATTTGCGTTACTAAATCCCAGCATGCCTCCTGCATTTCTGACACCGACTTAGAGTGCACAAGCCACTGGCATGAAAAAAAAACAAGGAGTGTAAAGACAAAACGCACAGCTAGTATCAACTTAAGCACAACAATGGGTATGTGTGTACCTGCAGGGTAACTTTGTACAGCTGGGTAAGTGTGAGGATGGCTTTTTTCACCACATTCACGCTCTCATCTTTCAGTAACATGTTGAGGTTCGCAATGAGTCGGATGAGAAGCTCATTGTCCCTTTTACTACAAAACACGAGGGAGAACGCATCATTTGAAATTCACAGATGTACAACTGTGAGTATTAAGCACACATCATTTGGTGACAACCAGGCATTACGTTATCAGGTTTTTATTATCGGAGGAAACACCGATAACAATTCTTATGCAGATGTTACATAATAATGCTAATATCGGTCGGCTGATATTATCAGACATCCCTACTCACCATGCTTCTTCGATGAATCCTATGATGCACTTTCTCACTTCGATAGACTTGTCAGTCTGAAAAGCAATCATTTCCTAGAGAACCACAAAACAGTGGACAGAGTTTTGATGTCAAGTTTTTGGGTCCATACTACACACTTCATTTTTAATATAGTAGGATTTCTTATCACAGTATCTACAGTAGTCTGCTTACATCCAGGAAGTTATCTAGTAGTGAGGGGTCCTTGTTGATTATGAGTTCCTGGACCTAAAAGTTCATCAGAGATGCTTGTCAGTGTGTTATTACTTTTATATAATTGCCATCAACTGATTAATTTCTTTCATTTCTCATTTCATCAACCACCAACCTGTTTGAGCAAAGTGAGTTTTTCATCTGTGGATATCAGAGCAGCCTGATTCAACAGGTCCACCACCTTGGCACACACAAGAGAATCCACAGTTTACAATAACACAGTGAAAAGATCCATACTTCAGAGATTCAGCTTTGTGATTTTAAACAAGGTCTAAGCAGTGGTTAAAATGCTGTCAAATATTCATCTAATATTTTAACTTTAATGAAATAACAAACGTGATAATGGATGAGCAGCAGAGAATTCTATGGTAAATCAAATTATTTTATTTAATTTACCCACTTTTTCTCTTACATAGACACTTTTTTTTTTTAAAAAACACTACCTTTTCACTTGTGGTCATGTCGACAACACCGGCCGTGTCCTCCTCTTCTGCTGAGCACTCCATCATTCGCCTCCCCTTAGTTTGTGGACAATAATTTGTTCAAAGATTCGTCTTAAGAGATCACTACGATCTCTGTAAACATTTAATAGCAGGAGATACACTACAGCTAAGAGGCTAACACAGTGACGTTGTTGTTATGTTAGTTATACTATATTGTTATACATCTTACTTAATGATAATAACACTAGAAAAACAAGCGATGAAATAATAGACTGGATATAAACAATCAATAGCGCCAAGTATTAACAACACTTTGTTCTGACTTCACTGACGCATTAGCCCCTATGCTAACGTCAATGCAGAACCTGTAATGTGTGATTAAATATGAACAAACATGTAACGACTACACACAGCTGAAATTACTTCTTACTTTGTCTTGGAGAAACCGATACTATTGGCTATGGCAAAACACGAACTGGCGTAAGAAATTTAACGCAGTCACAAAAAAAAAGAACCAGCGTTCATTCACTGAGCTCTATTACAACTGTGTGGCAGCCATGTTTATCAAAACTAACGGCCCCACGTTTTCTTCTACTGTTATTCAGCGACTGGCGCAGACACTGGTGCCCTCTGTTGGAGACAATTAGTAAGCCGAGAAGTAAGAATATGTAAACAGTGACCTACTGAATAATAAAACAGATATACTAAAGATATACTTAATACCATGAGACATGACAACAATTTGGTGCAAAGCTTACTGCCTTTTATTTTTATTATTATTTTTTTAAAAATCGTATTTTATTTTTCACCGACAGGCAGGGCTGCATTGAAACTGCTGATGCCAACGAGTGGTACTGTAAACATACGGAGATGTTTACTATACATTCAGTAAGGCTGGGAGGGCCATCGTTTAGGTGACGTTGCAGTAGTGTGGGATGATGGGAGATGGAGTTGTGGCTATTCCAAATGTTCGAGGTATTAAGCTGAGGTTGGAAATAGCGAACAATATCTGTAAACCCTACGTTGACTCACATCCTCAATTTTGCTCAATACTATTTTGATGTAGTTAGAATGTAATGTATCACCATCAGAAAACGTTGTTAAAATTCAAACTTATTGTTTTTTGATTCCTTTGTTATTTTTTATTATTTTGTAATATATACATGTAATATAGATAACTTACTTACGAAAATATTTGAATATTTTACGACTTTATAACGAATGAATGCTGTTATTTTTCTCTGTTTTTTTTTTCAGGCCTTCCCGCTTTACAATACGAAACAGTGACTGCATATCCCAGAAGCCTCTGCGCACTACAAACGATGTCACCTGATAATGAAGGAGAACTAGAATGCTAATGTTTACCACCAGTGGACTGTCAATAATGTTATCACCTGGTTAATTCTGTCGATAAGTTTACGCCATGAAAAGAGAGAAGTCGATAACAGCGCTGGCCTCATGACTGCTTCTGTTATTCAGGTAAAACGATTCGTAAATAAAACACGAAGCTTGTTGGCGCTTAGCATGTCATCTGGTGTTTGTAAGCAAGACTACGTAGCACAGCGATGCAAACTGGTGAAAGCGTTCGAGCTGAAACTTTAGCTTTCCTATTGAATGCTAAACGATTTCTTCAGTCATACAGAAACATTAAGTACACGATTGTTTAATTCCAGCTTGTAACTTTGGAATTAGTAACACAATAATTTATCTTGGTTAGCTATCAGACTTTGGTGCAGCTCCTAAAGTTAAATTGGCCGTATAAGCTAACTGCTACTACAATATTTAGTTTTGTTTACTTTCGTGACCTTACTAAACTTTTTGTTAGCAGCTGTGTCCACTGCTGTGTCCACTGCTGTGTCCACGTAGCTAACTGATGTAATATAATTATTTGTTGTTTAATTGCAGCTATTCTAACTGGAAACATTTACCCACGGGACTTTAAATGTTCAAAGATTTTTTAAGTACTTTTTTTCTCCTTTCTTCTCTTTGTTGCAGTGTTTTGTTTTCAGTGTGTTCGTTGGTTTCCAGACAGACAACTGCCAACACTTCAGAGCACAATTTGAGAGTAAAGTTGTGCAGTCCAATGTAAGTCATCACCCAGGATAGATTTGCCTACTTTTTGAAGTTTATATTGTGGACAAGAAGCCCTTTGAATATTTGTTACCGTGTTTGTGTGTGTGGTTTTTTTTAGAATGTTCAGATGATATCAATAATAAAATAATCAGATATAATGTGATCATCTGATTTCAGTGCATCAATGGAATGGGTGTTCGTCATGAATCGGATGAGCTCTCAGAGTAGTGCTGCAGCCCAGCGGAGGCGGATGGTTCTAGGGGTGCTGATACTCCTGCTGGTAGACATCATCTGGGTCGTCTCCTCTGAGCTGACATCCGTAAGAACTCACACACAGCCTTACAGTAGCATTCATAGCAGTTTCAATGCAGACCTTCCTGTCGGTGGAAAATAAAACAAGATTTAGATTTTTTTTTTTAAATAATAAAAATAAAGTCAGTAAGGTTTTGCATGCCTTATGGTCTTGACTATTTTATTATTCAGTACATCACTAGTGTGATATCTTTACAAATTCTCACTTCTTTGCTTGCTGTTGTCTCCAACAGAGGGCACCGGTGTCTGTGCCAGTTGCTGAATAATAATAATAATAATAATAAGCCAGTTGCTGAATAACAGTAGAAGAAAAACCAGAGTCTAAGAATAACAGTAGAAGAAAAACCAGAGTCATTAATTTTTTTTACAACAGCCAATAGTATTAATTTCTCCAAGACAAAATAAGAAGTCAGCTGTATGTAGTTGTTACATCTCTGTTATTTAATCACACATTACAGGTTCTGCATTGACATTAGCCTAGAGTCAGAAATGTGTGTCAAAGTGTTGTTAATACTATTGTAATAATTTATATCCAGTTTATTATTTCATCATGTGTTTTTCTAGCGTTATTATCCTTAGCCTTGTAGCAGTAGTGTGTCTCTCACCATTACATGTTTACAGAGATCGTAGTGTTTACTCTTTAGAAGAGTCATACTTCTGACTGTTTCCACAGTACATCTTCAAGCAGCAGGAGTACAACAAACCCTTCTTCAGTACATTTGCCAAAACCTCCATGTTTGTACTTTACCTGCTGGGCTTCCTGCTGTGGCGCCCCTGGAGGCAGCAGTGCACTGGCACTCTGAAACGCAAGAACTCTGCATTTGTAAGTAGTCTGTTTAGAATTTCACAGCATGAGACAGTGGCAAACACATCAATGAAACAGTGGTTTTATTGATGTGTTAGCCTGGATGTTCATCACAGCTTTGTTGACTTTATTAGCTGTAAATATCTACACCAGACGACGAAGTTTGGCTGTTGTCACAGTCAAATACAGTTTAAATTTTTGTCTTTATATCTGTATATAATACATTTTTACAAACCATTTAAAATGTCTAGCCCCTTTAGCTTTAACCTACAGCACTTTAACGGCTACTATACTGATAGTAGGGCTGTAAGAAAATATAGATACACTGAAATATCACAATATTTTATTTCATGATACCGTATCGATTATCTACAGCGTTGTGTGATATGCGATATGCCCGTATCTTCCAACCACTTAATTTCCGATTGACCTGGTGCTCTGACAGTTTTGTTTGTGAAGTTTGCAGATGCTGAGGCCTACTTTGCATCCTGCACCACTGACAGCTCAGTGAATGACAGTTTGGTAAGTACTGTACTGTGTCACTTCACTATTTTAAACCTACACCCGTTTCCAAAGGGAAAATGGAACCAATGCCATCTGACATTTAGAGAGGGTCGGACAAACACTTAGTCAAACTGATGTTAATCCCTTAGCCTTGATCTGTATCTTTCACTGAAAGCCTGCCTGACTTCCTCTTCCTGTTTGGTCCAGAGTGAGCCGCTGTACGTACCAGTCAAGTTCCAGGACGTGCCTGCAGATCACTCAAACTGTTTGATTGGAGAATGTGAATCCTGTGAGTACAAACGATTCTTTCCCTTTATTAAATGTTACTAGTTATAATTTGGGTTTGTAAAAAGCATATAAACAGCAGAGGGCAACGCTGAGCCACGCTGAAAGATATAGATATATATAATAAATTGTAACACTGTCCATTATGAACTTTTTGCTGATATGCCGATATTGTCCAAACACTTAATCTCTGATTCTGATATCAACTGATACTGATAAACCGGGTCAGTGGTGGCCTGATGGTTAAAGAAGTTAGGTGCCTAAAGTTCCTCTGAGACCTGTGTCCTGTTACTACAACAACAGCCACGTCCAAAAAGCAGCGTGTGCGCTTCAGTAACATCATGGAGGTGAGACAGCTGCCCTCCACCCAGGCTCTGGAGGCCAAGCTGTCCCGCATGTCCTTCCCCGCTGCCAAGGACCACGAAGCAATGCTGCGGTCGGTGGGCAAGCTGACCATCACTGACGTGGCCAAGATCAGCTTCTTCTTCTGTTTCGTTGTAAGTCTGATACTTTTTACCATTTTCCAGAGACAAAAGTTTAAAATGAACTAATGAAACAAAGAAAAAGGAGGATTAAATGTCAGCAGATTTATCATGATGAAATAGTTTGTGACATTTTAAGTCATGTTAACATCAACAGTTAAACCTTTTTCTTTGTTAGCATTTCATTTTCTCTTGACAAAAGTCTGTCATTGGTCGTTTGTTTTTCTGTATAATTGGAGTCTCTTTGTTTCCAGTGGTTCCTGGCCAACCTGTCCTACCAGGAAGCTCTGTCTGACATGCAGGTGGCGTTTGTCAATATTTTATCATCCACCTCAGGTAAACTGACACTCTGTTCATTCCGTCTGTGGTTCTCCGTCTGTGGTTCCTCTCTGACTCACCCGTGCTCTCTCACCTCTCTGTCTTCAGGCCTCTTCACACTCATCCTTGCAGCCATATTCCCCAGCAACAGCAGTGACCGTTTCACCCTGTCCAAACTCTTAGCTGTGGTTCTGAGGTGAGCACTGACAGAACCTGTCAGTCAGATCAGACTGTACGTGAGGTGCTGTATTTTTAGATGTAGTCATCTGCTAACCATCTGTCTCCCCCTGGTGTAGCATAGGAGGAGTGACTCTGGTCAGTTTCTCCAGCATGGAAAACTCTGAAGAGAACGGTTTCATAGGTACTGATGAGGACAAACGGTATCACATCAGTCCCTGGTACTGTACTCTCTCATGAGATGACATTTACGTATTTGTGATCAGGTTCTCTGTGGTCATTGGCTGGAGCCATTCTTTATGCCGTCTACATTGTGATGATCAGGAGACGAGTGGACCGAGAGGACAAGCTGGACATTCCCATGTTTTTTGGTGAGTTTACCAACAAGTACCAAGACTTCCTTCACACAAAGATTTGAATGTAATGAGAATATTGTATTAATGCGTTGTCTTATACGCTCAGGTTTTGTTGGTTTGTTCAACCTGCTGCTGTTATGGCCGGGCTTCCTCCTGCTTCACTACACAGGCTTCGAGGCCTTTGAACTCCCCAGTCAGCTGGTGTGGACGTACATCATCATCAATGGGCTGATCGGTACCGTCCTGTCAGAGTTCCTCTGGCTGTGGTGAGACCAAAGTTCTGTTAGTCAACGCTGTGAAATGACTCGTGTCTCGGTGACAGCCTGACCAGCTAAAAGTTCCGATGTCGATGTTTCTGGTTCCACAGGGGCTGTTTCCTCACGTCGTCTCTGATTGGCACGCTCTCCCTGAGCCTGACTATCCCACTCTCCATCATGGCGGACATCTGTATGCAGAAGGTGAGTTTTCTCACAGCTGGTATTCAACAGTCTGTGTTTTTCATCAAGTCAAGAAACTAAATAAGTAAATGTATCAAATCCATTTCCTTTAAATGTTCCTTCAGTTTGGGGAGAGAGTTTGGGTAAAAATGAGTCAAAATGAATGAAATGAACACGTATCTGAAGACTTTTTCACTTATATATGTGTACATTTAAACTCCTGACTACTGTTTGAAACAAATACACTGTAGTAGTCGCGAATACTTTGTACTTAGAACGGTCTTCTGCACGTGTCGACAGGTGCATTTCTCGTGGCTGTTTTTCGCCGGTGCGGTTCCCGTCTTCCTGTCCTTCATCACTGCCACGATCCTGTGTCACTTCAACAACTGGGACCCAGTCCTGGTGGGACTACGGAGAGTTTACGCCTTCCTCTGCAGGAAACAGCGAATTCAGAGGTAATCTTGTGAGTCTCCTTACTGCCACCTGCTGGCTATATGTCCTTCTAGTTTAATCTGGAGAATGTCCTGATGACGGAGCAAAAGAAGAAAACCAGAGAGAGAGACTGTCCGGCTACAGCCTGTTCCTTCTGAACTGATGAACCGTCCTGTGTATGTTTGGTTCCCTTTCCAAAAAAAGG